CTGACTTTTTATGAAACACCGCTCGTGATTTCAGAGTAATTTCCTCTGTTAAATTATTAAGCCTTCATAATTACAACTACAGCTGTAATTATATTGCAAAAATTACCTTTAATAAAGATAATAGGCACTTTGAGGTGGATTAGATCTGGAAATTTTAACACACACTATGTTTTATCAATCTCCCTCATATACCTTTATTCATGAAAAATTCTCAGGTGCCCTTCATGGAAGGCCACCTTTTTACTTAGTGAATAAATATAAAAATGTATAATTGCTGGGATAACAAAACTAAACTCCACACAGAGAAATAATTTCAACATTAAATTAGTGACATTCTGCATAAATATATGTGTGCTCATCCAAGTACACATGCCTTTGATTTAATATGGTTTATTTAATATCATTTTCTGCTAACTTGAAAATAGTTAAAGTGAAAAGAATACAATAAGCATATGCATGGTTTCTGTCATTCAGAGTTTTCAGCTGCTAATCTTGAAGAACCAAGACAGAATCTATGCATCTTGGAGAACCAAGCAAAATAAAAATACGTTAGGAAAGGTGATCAAGTAGAGAATTCCATTAAAGTAAATATGGTAAACATTAAAATTTCAAATGGTAACACATTCATTCATTTATTCATTCATAATTTAATAAATATTCACTATGTACTTGACAACATTCTGCAGATAAAGTGAACACCACTGACCTTATAAGCCTTATAGACTAGAAGTAGCAGCAGCACTCAAGAGCATATAAATTAAACCCAAGGCACAATATTAACAATAAGAAAGAAAAGGGGGACTATTAAGCAGTAGGACAAGAACACTTAGAGTTGACATAGTCAGGGAAGATCTCTTTGATAAAATAGAACACCTATATGTGCAGCACAGATACCTGGAGAAGGTAAAACTCATTTCAAGTAGAAAATAAGCAACTACACTAAATCTAGATATCAACCAGGAAGCTTTACTAGGTCCTATTTCTTCTTGAGCCCATTGGGTAATAATATGGTTTGGAAATGTGTCTGTCAAAGATCGTTGCATCAATGGTTAGCTTCCAGAGCAGTGCTGATGAGAAAGAAGTACTGAAACCTGCAGGAGGTGGAGCCTCCTTGGGACACTGATGTGTGTGTGACTACAGAGAAGTTCATGGCACTTTGGCTTCTCCCCTTTTTTCTGACTCAAGACCATTAAGAGTTTCCTTCACCACAAATTTTCTACCAGTGTCATCCTCAACACATCAAAAGCCTAGCAAAATTGGTCCATGGTATCTTGAATGGTATCCTGAAATTAACTTGTTTTTCTAAATAAATGAGGTTGTGGAGGTCGGCTGGAGAGATGATACATTGGTTAAGAACACTGAGTGAGTTTCCAGAGAATTCAGGTTCAATTCCCAGTACCCACATGGCAGCTCACCAGTTAAAAATGAGCCAATGTAGATTAAATGAATCCTAGTACAAAGATTGTTCTTTCTATCTGTTCTCAATGGCAATGCTCATTAAATCTTTCTCTGTCTTCGTCACTTAATAAAATAAAGACTGCAGAAAGCTGGGAGCAGGCAATCAAAGCAACAGAACAATGCCCCTCTCTCTGTGGAACAGTTCTTCTTTGAAGAAAAAAGCCTAGGGAATCAGAGGTTCTCAGCAGCTGAGAGAAATGGTCCTCTTAGTTACTTTCATGTCAGGCTAAACTGAAACCAGTAAACTAGCACAGAAGCCAAAAGAATCTAAGAGTCCAGACTCAATATGGGAGAATAAGATGAGTTAGCAGAAAAGATTCTGAGAAAAACATGTGCACGTGATGATCTTATACTATTTTGTAATTTAAAGAGAAAGCAACAGAAAAAAAAATACACTGCTCTTATTAAGATTTCCCTACAGATTTTTCTTTGACTCCAGTGTTTGTATATGTATCAAATTCAATATGCTAATAGAGATAACAGTTCTATAATGCATGAGTAAGCATCGTATTCTGTACAATCTAACACCAATTAAAATATACAATTATCTTAAGCTTTCAAATTCTCAAAATGAGATTGTGGCACTTTGCCAAAACCAGAGAAGCACCCTTTCGATCACAGATAAAGCCTCTTCCAAAATGTGAAAATGCAAACCTATACTAAAGCATATGGTACTTCAAACAGTTCCTATTTGCTCTTCTGTCACCACTGTGACTTTCATCCATTATGAACTTATTTGGTAATGGAGTACCTTCCTTGCTTGACTCCAGTGTCAGCTCTGTGTGTATTTCACCTCACACAGCAGATATTCTACTTTCTGAACTACAAATACACCAAGCCACAAAACTCAGCACTCCTTTCTGGTTCTATTTTTCCCCATATCTTGGGTCGCTCATCACGTAATGTCTTTTGACTAGACTGAAATTCCTTTAAGCTCTAGAGCAGTGGTTCTCAGCCTCTGGGTCACAGCCCCTCTGTGTTCAAAGGACCTTTTCTCCAAGGCTGCATATCAGATATCCTGCATTTCAGATATTCGCATTACAATTTGTAAGAACACCAAAATCACAGTTATGGAGTAGCAAGAAAATAATTTTATAGTTGGCGGCCAACACAATATGAGGAACTGTATTAAAGCATAGCATGTTGAATTAGGAAGGTTGAGAACTGATGGTCTAGAGTGAGACAGGGTCCCAACTGAGAGTATAAAACCAAGAAGATAAAATTTTTCCTCCCCACTTCTTGATATTCTAGTCATGTGACTTAAGTTTGGCCAATTAGACTGTTCAGCCAATGAGGCACAATCTGAGAAATTTTGCCAAATCAGGATTATCTGCAATGGCTGGATTCATATTTATTCACCACAACCCAGGCATGATTGCAACTGGCAATTTGCAAGTAGAGGTCAGTATGTTCCTAAACATATTCCAGTGTAGATGATGACCCCCATTTAAAAAGTTTTCTGATGCAAAATGTCAATAGTGAGATAAGAAATGTCCTACAATTTTATTTCCCCTAAAAATCATATACAGCGAAACGCTCACAAAGCTAGAATAATTTTCCAGTGATTCAAAATGCTCACTTTTATTTTTATTATATTATTATTATTAACAACAATTTATTCACTTTGTATTCCAGTTGTAACTTCCTCGCTCATCTTCTCCTTGTCACACCTCCCTCCCTATTCTTCCCTTATCCCTTTTCCCTAGTTCACTGATAGGGAAGATCCTTCTCTCCTACTGTCTGACCCTAGCTTATCAGGTCCCATCAAGACTGCCTGAATCCTCTTCCTCTGTGGGCTGGCTAGGTTGTCTCACCACAGTGAAGTGATCAAGGAGCCAGCAGAGCACAAGGAGTCTTATGGAAGAAAAGGGATATAAAAGGTCTCGGGTGGGGGCAGATAGGAGCCATACAAGGAGACTAACAAAGCCTAAATAAATAAATAAATAAATAAATAAATAAATAAATAAATAAATAAATAAGCAGAGCCCAAAAGGAACTGCAGAGACTGATACATCAACCTAAGTTCTTGCATACAGAGGACCTAGACACCCTGCTCAGATGTAGCCCACAGACATCTCAGTCTTCATGTGGGTTCCCTAGTAAGAGGAAAAGAGACAGTCGCTGACATGAACTCAGTTGCCTGTTCCTTAATCGAACACTTTTATAATTACTTCTGGGACTTTATGTATACTGTAATGGTAGCAGAAAGAATATTATAATCCATTTGTCAACAACTTGATTCACCTAAGAACCACATGTATAAGTAACACATAAAAAGAGTGCGTGAGACAAAGTAATGAAGATTCACAAAGAGCTCAAAGGCATAAAACGTTGAGGGAAATGATGATAGTATGTTCACAGTAATTGCTCAGTATATAAACAGCAGAAGGGCATTTTGCAGCAGAAGGGCGACAGTCTGAATTTGAGTCCCCATCATCATTTAAAGCTGGGTATGTTGGCACTTGCTATGTCTGTGACCTGACACTGAGAGAGAAGAGACAGGCAGATGCTAGGAGTGCAGTAACTAGCAAATCCAGCCAAAGCTGTGATGTTTGAAGTCAGCAGGAGAATTTGTAGTCCTAAAATAAGGTGGAGAGTAATGGAGGAAGACATCAACATCAACATCAGACCTCCGTACATGCATGTGCACATAAACTCACGTGCATACACGTCCATACAAGAAGAAAAGGAAAGGCGAGAAGGAAGAAGAGGAAAAGTAGTATGAATGGTTAAGAATATTAAGAAATGAAGGTTGGAAAGGATGTTGGATTAGGTTTTAAAATGTCTTGTACACCACAGGAGTCTGGATTTCACTCTCCAAATGACAGTATTATAAAATACATTTTAATTAAAATATAATTATATCACATCTTCCCTTTCTATTTTTCCTTCCAGTGTCTCCAATCAATCAACTGAAGAGGAAACCCACAGAGCAAGAATCTTTGCCAGCTACACATCCAGTAGATTAATATCCAGAATATACAAAGAACTAAGAAACAAAGAGTCAGGAAAACAAATGGCCTGATTAAAAATGGGTTACCAAATTCAATAAAGAGTTCTCCAAAGGAGAAATGGCTAAGATAAAAATTTTAAAGTGTTCAACATCCATAGTAATTAGAGAAATGAAAATTAAAACCACCTTGAAGTTCTGAGTAAAATGAGAAAGAAAAAAAAATTATATGATATCATATAAGCAGTGCTAGGTGAGAAGGACACAGAAGAGGAGATCATCACTCATATAAAAATGAGGAGCAGCCTCTTTCAATCACAGTGGTGGCAACAAGGGTAGAGAGCAAGGAACAGACCTTTAAAACTATTCTGAACATTTACCTACCTCGTCCAGTAAAATGAGTACCTTTCAGTACTATAAAAATATAAATCAAGGGGTTAAGAAAAATCTAAATTTGTTCACATGTCAATCAGTAATAATTTCAAAGGTTATAAAAACATTAAGACATACATTTAACATGGCTATATATTGAAAACATGTTATCTAATTGACTTCTGTATAATAACCAATATGGAGAAAACGGTGACATTACCTGCTCCAAGACTTCCTTATAGGTAATTGTTGCTTTAGTGTTTGTAACAGGACTGTCATAGATGATTGCAATCTTATCCCCTTGGCCGTTTTCAATGTGCCGATCAATAGCATTGTAACAAATATTGAGCATCCCTTCCACAAACCTGAAACACATTGGAAAGAAAAATGAATGATTCTTTTCACAATATATTTTTGTTTAACTGCTTTGCTACATATTAAGCTGACAGAGATTTCCTTAAGACGGCGTTTTCTACAGCACCCCATGCTAGGAAATGATGGTGGTAAAACACATATTTAAAAAGATACTGAGAGAACATTTTCACTTTAATAAGTATGGATTTATATTCATGTATAACAGAAAAAAAATACACGTTGCACTTTCAACTGACAGCTTTGTGGATCTTAGTGCTTAGGATGAAAGCGGAGTCTACATCTTTACAGGGGGAAAGTGAATCGCACGTAAGTGTGGAGCATAAGCACTAAAGATTATGAAAAGGGAAATGGTAGATGTCTGGCTGTAGTACTGCTAGCTGTTACAGATAGACAAACGTTAGAAAAATCAGTTCTCTGAAATACACTGCAAGACTTAGCTTCATTTATCAGCTACACACTTAGGAAGAGCCAACTTTCATTGAAGGGTTGTTTCCATTGGGATGCCTTGTGCACAGGTCTGTAGTGGCATTTTATTCATTGTTAATTAGCATGTCCAACCCACTGCGAACTATACCATCCCTGGTCAGATAGACCTCAACGGTGTAAGAAAACAGGTACAGCAAGCAAGGGGAAACAGGCTAATAAACAGAATTCTTATACATCTCCTCTGCACTTTTAGGCTGCAACTTCCCACCTTGAGTCTATGAAAGATGCACTGTAGCTTGTAGCAAATAAATGCTTTTCCCAGGCCACACTGGCCAATGAGGCAGGTTGATGATCTTCAGACCTTCATTCATCCTTTTCTCTGACAAATTCAATCCCCAGACTCAACCCCCACTTGTAGTTGTGGCCTCTCCTACCTCTCTGCCCCCATTCTCAGGGGACTAAATGGATCCTGCTATCACACCATGCTTTCTCCCCTCCCGGGGTCCCCCTCAGAAGTCCCCTAATAAGTGTAAGCTTCCAACAACAAGAAACACTCTAACCAAAACCCCAGTGGTCACCCTACCTCTCAGAAGCATTCTCTACCAGGCAATCCTGAGCCAATACAATCTCCTATGAACCAGAAAGAGCAGCAGTAACCAAGGAATGGAATGCCAACCTAACAAAAACGAGACCAGATAACAGCAGCTAGTTTTTCTACCAACACCAACCAGCGTTAAAACACAACAGCGAGGGTAAAATATACCCCAGAAATCCTACCACAGTAAGCCCCACAAAATGCAATATAGATGAATTACCAGACAATGACTTCAAAATAACCTTTTTCTAATATGATAGAGGCCCTTAAAGTGGAAATGAGTAAATTCCTTAAAGAAATCTATGAAAATGAAAACATCAGAATGAAATAAAGAAAACAATTACTTTCAAGTGGAAATAGAGGTAAGAAAAAGCTAAAAACCTGAGGAAAAACTGGAAATGAAAAAAGTTAGGTATTCCAATATGCAAGGCTCTCCAACAAAAATGGAGTACAAGAAATGTAAGAGAACATTTTAGGTATTAAAGGCAAGATAAGAGAAATTAACAAGAAACATGTTAAATTTAAAAAGGAAAAAAGTAAACAAACAAAAAAACCCAGGCAAAAACTACCCAAGAAATATGACACTGTAAAAAGACCAAACTTGTAAATTACAAGAATAGAGCAAGGGGAGTAAACCCAGATAAAAGGCAAATAAAATATTTTCAACAAAATCACATGAGAAAAATTTCCCAGTCTAAATAAGAAGGTGTCTATCAAGTTCCAGAAAGAATACAGAACACCAAATAGGCTGGACCAGGATATGTTCCCTTGGCACATAATAATCAACACTGAATGTACAGCAAAGAATATTAAAAGATTCACAGGAAAAAGACCAAATAACATATAAAGTTAGACTTCTTAGGATAACACTTGACTTCAAACAAAGAGTGTAAAAGCCAGAAGTCCTGGATAGATATGCTACAGTCTCTAACAGACCACAGATGCCAGTCTAGATTATTATACCCTACAAAAACCTCTAAAAAAAACTTTAAAAAGTTAACCATAACCACAGACATAAGAAAAGAAGAATGTCAGATCAGCAAATCAAAAGAAAAAGAAAAAAAATATATACCACAACAAAATAACTGAATGAACAAACACTGCTCATTGATAACTTTCAACACTGATAGTTTCAATACCCAGATAAAAAGATACAAACTAACAGAATGAATGTGAAAACAGGCTCTCTCTTTCTGTTATATCCATGGAACACACCTTAACACCTCAGACATTACCTCTGGAGAAACGAATAGGAAATATACCCCAAGAAAATGGACCTAAGAAGAAAGCCTGAGTAGCCATTTTAATATCTGACAAATTTGACATTAAACCAAATTATTCAAAAGAGATAGAGGACACTAAATACTCTTCAAAGGAAAAATACTCCAAGAAGATACTGTGACTCTTTTCTTCTGTGCACTAAACATCAGGATACCCAATTCATTAAAAGGACACTATTACTACAGCTTAAATCGCATATTGCCTCTCACACAATGATAGTGGGAGACTTCAGTGCTCTACTCTCACCAACAGACAGGTCTTGCAGAAAAAAAAAAAAAAAAAAAAAACTAAGCAGGGAATACTGGAGCTTACTAATGTCATAAGCCAACTCGACCAAACATATATTTGTAGAATATTTCGGCCCAAAACGTTCTCTGAACGTCATGGAACTTCTTCCAAAATTAGCCACACACCCAATATGCAATGCAAGTCTCCACAGATAGAAGAAAATTAAGACAACATCCTGTATCCTATCTGACCACTACTGAATAAAGCTGGATATCAACAACAGAAAAAACAGAAACCTTAACAAACTCACGAGAACTGAACAACAGACTACTGAATGAAAAATGGGTCAGGACAAAAATTACGAAAGAAATTAAAGACTTTCTAGAATTGAGTAAAAATGAATACAAAACACACCCAAACTTATGCCAACCTAATGAAGGTGATTATAAGACTGCAATAGATAGGGACCTTAGCTAAAAGGAGAAGTGGACATGCGTCCAATCCCTAACTAAGAAGCAATCTCCAAATTGATAGCCACTTGCAAGTGAAAATTTAGTTTTCTCCAACGGAGTGCCACTCGGGAAACAAACTACTCTTTTTTTTTTTTTTTTTTACATTTCCAAAGTTTACTATTTTTTTTAATTTTTTTTTATTAATTACACTTTATTCATTTTGTATCCCCCATAAGCCCCTCCCTCCTCCCCTGCCGATCCCACCCTCCCTCCCCTTTCTGCATGCATGCCACTCCCCAAGTCCACTGATAGGGGAGGTTCTCCTCTTCTTTCTGATCTTAGTCTATCAGTTCTCATCAAAAGTGGCTGCATTGTCCTCTACTGTGGCCTGGTAAGGCTGCTCCCCCCTCAGGGGGAAGTGATCAAAGAGCAGGCCAATCAGATTATGTCAGAGGCAGTCCCTCTTCCCATTACTATGTAACCCACTTGGACACTGAACTGCCATGGGCTACACCTGTGCAGGGGTTCCAGATCTTCTCCACGAATAGTCCTTGGTTGGAGTATGAGTCTCTGGGAAGTTCCCTGTGTTCAAATTATCTTGTTCTGTTGCTCTGCTTGTGGAGTAACCGTCCCCTCCAGCTCTTACTGTTTCCCACTTCTTACATAAAATTCCATTCACTCTGCCCACCAGTTGGCCATCAGGCTCAGCATCTGCTTTGACAGTCTATACTGGAGAGGCTTTCAGAGGCCCTCTGTGGCAGGTTTCAAGGTTGTTTCCTGTTTTCTTCTGGCTTTCAGAGGCCCTCTGTAGCAGGTTCTGAGGTTGTTTCCTATTTTCATTTTCTTCTGATGTCCATCCTCTTTGCCTTTCAGGATGGGGATTGAACATTTTAGTTAGGGTCCTCTCTTTTGCTTAGTTTGTTTAGATGTACAGATTTTAGTGGGTTTATTCTATACTGTATGTTTATATGAGTGAGTATATACCGTGAGTGTCTTTTTGCTTCTGGGACAACTCACTCAGGATGATCCTTTCCAGGTCCCACCATTTACCTGCAAATTTCATGATTTCCTTAGTTTTCATTGCTGAGTAATACTCCATTGTATAGATGTACCACAGTTTCTGCATCCATTCTTCAGTTGAGGGGCATCTGGGTTGTTTCCAGCTTCTGGCTATTACAAATAAAGCTGCTACAAACATGGTTGAGCAAATGTCCTTTTTGTGTACTTGCGCCTCTTTTGGGTATATGCCTAGGAGTGGTATGGCTGGATCTTGAGGAAGCGCTATTCCTAGTTGTCTGAGAAAACGCCAGATTGATTTCCAGAGTGGTTGTACAAGTTTACATTCCCATCAGCAGTGGAGAAGGGTTCCCCTTTCTCCACAACCTCTCCAGCATGTGTTGTCCCTTGAGATTTTCATCTTGGCCATTCTGATGGGTGTAAGGTGAAATCTCAGGGTTGTTTTGATTTGCATTTCCCTAATGGCTAATGAGGTTGAGCATTTCTCTAAGTGCTTCTCTGCCATTCGATATTCCTCTACAGAGAATTCTCTCTTTAGCTCTGTTCCCCATTTTTTAAGTGGATTACTTGGTTTGTTGCTTTTCAGCTTGTTTAGTTCTTTATATATATTGGATATGAGTCCTCTGTCAGATAAAGGGTTGGTGATGATTCTTTCTCAATCTGTAGGCAGTTGCTTTGTTTTGATGACATCCTTTGCTTTACAGAAGCTTTTCAATTTCATGAGGTCCCAGTTATTGATTGTTGCTCTTAGAGCCTGTGCTGTTGGTGTTCTGTTCAGGAAATTTTCTCCTGTACCAATGAGTTCTAGGGTATTCCCCACTTTTTTTTCTAGCCAATTTAATGTGTCTGGTTTGATGTTGAGGTCTTTGATCCACTTGGACTTCAGTTTTGTGCAGGGTGATAAGTATGGATCTATTTTCATTTTTCTACATGTAGTCATCCAGTTGGACCAGCACCATTTGTTAAAGATGCTATCTTTTTTCCATTGTAT